CTTCAGACAAACCTGTCCCTTCCCCTCTATCTCTCTCAAGGTACTTAACCTCAGGAAGCAGCTTGGCATACTAGCCAACTGGCTTTTTCGGGGGGCACTTAATAGAAATCAAAGCTACCATAAAGCTACATATTTTACTTGAAAGCAGAAATGAGAGACTAGATAAAATATTTTAAGAAGGTATTAAAAATCTACTTTTATTTCATTTATCTGGCTAAAATTCTGAGGCTTCTTGTAAAGATTGATGTTATATGATGCAATTGTCTGTTTCTCTGATCTTTAGATGACCTTGTTACCTACAAGTTACACCCTCATTTTTTGACCCTGTTCAAATAATCCTGATGGAAGGTTTAATATAGGATAAGAAATCCAGTCTTCCTTGACAAAGTGGGCTGAATGAACAGTTGATCTCTGTATGCTTTGTATCTTATCAAGGTTCTTTTGTTGAGGAGTCATCTCATTGCCTCTCCATGACTGAATTTGCCCCCTTACACACAGGCTCTGGAGACTTTTTCCCATTTGTGTAAAGCAGCTGTTTATTGTGGAACCCTCAGTACTACCTGTTCTTGCAGTCTTCAGTATAGATCTTTGTCACCTCATATAATTATTGGGGTATTTCCATTCTGAAACCAGGCTGTTGTGACAGCTAAGGAAACAGCAGCTTTCACTTTACTGTACCATTTATTTTTATTTTATTTTATTCTTCCAGCTTCTACAGCAGTGATGTAATTTTTTTTCAGTGCTAGCTTTAAGAGGAAGGATTCTTTTTTTTTTAAGCTCTCAAGCTAAAATTCTTTTTTTATTTAAGTCTTAATGTACTTGTGAATTGCTTTCCTGAGCGTGACTGCCTCAGTAGATGGATTACTGTGCACTTCTGTAGCCCATGATAAGATCTTGGCAATTGCTGCTTCCCATAGGAGCAGAACTGTTAAAATGGCAGTATATCATTATCTCTTAGTCTGAGCTACTCCAGACTTTATGGTGTAATAAAATAGTGTGATCAAATTGAGGCCTGCTGCAAATTTCCCTGGCAGCCTTTCTCTTTAATCTGGAGGCTTTAAACTGGACGTTTCGTTTCTCTTCAGGAAATATTGACAAGCAAATTATGCGATGTTGCAGTGTGCTTGACTGACGGGTGTCTTGAACACCTCTTCATGTCATCTTACCTAACACTTCTTGAAGATTTGGCATCTGACTTTCTCAATCTCCTGCTGGTGTCAGAACAAGATGGGGAAGGTGCAGTGAAATGTGCTGTTGTGCTGAGGGCACAGGGGCTGGACATGTAGGAAGGTTTGCAGAAAATTCTTACTGAGCAAAGGGGGAATTGACAGACCTAGGGCTCCAGAGGAGTTACGGGTTAGGAGAGCAGATTGGGGGTAATTTTTTGAAGGCTGGGAATGGAAAGGAAAGGGCTGTGGACTGCAGAGTGAATCATTAGATTTCTGCAGGGGAAAGAGAGGGGAGAGGTCAGAAGTCTGGAACAGAAGGCTTTGGGGCAAGAGGCTAAGAGCCACCATGAGCACCTCTTCCTGATGGACATCCATAGGACTCTGGAATGTAAAGCTGCGTTCATGGGAGTGATCACTTGTATGAGCTACACAGCCATCTGCCCCTAGGTTCTGTGTGCTTTCTTTGCAACAGGAAATGTGATGCTGTCAGGCCAAGTGGGACCTGTTTGTGCAGCCGGGAGCAACCTTCTCCTGTAAAGTACTAAAGAACTTGTTATTCCAGTCACTACTGTAAATTAACAGTGACAAGAACTTTCCACTTGATGAACAGTGCTTCAGCAGACTTCCTCTTTCCACCTTGGAAGTTTTGGGGGGTATTTGCACGGGGTACAGGACTTAAAACCAGGAGAATGACTCATGCATTTGACTCTGGAAAACTGGCCCTTCCTCTTTAAAGTTTTATATTGCACAACCTTTAGATGAAATGTCGAGCTTCCTTTTTGAATGACAGGATCTCTGCAGCGTGACTACGAGTGTGGTTCAAGAAGGTGTTTCATAACTATCAATCTGTGTCCATCCAGTAACCTCAGTTCTTGTGACATCGCTGGCCTTCAAGTTCCTCACAGCACAACAATGAGATGCTTTCATTCTGCTTTCTCCAGCATGGACATCCTGTAGTACTATTATTGACATATTTTGAAATCTCCCTGACACCAGTGAGCATCAGCAGTTGTGACTCCTGCCATAACCAGTAGCAGAAGGTTCTGAGGAATGTACAGGAAGGCCTTTAACGTAGCCATTTTATATAACTTGTCGCTAGATTGTTGTCTCCAGTAATTCTCTCTCTTGAAGTCCATCTGATTTCCACTGAAGTCAGTGTTAGATCCTTAAAGTGATCTTAGGGGTTTTTGTCACTTCAGATATTCTAGCAACTGCTGTAGCCAAAAAAAATAAAATCAACCCTGAACCATTTTAATTCCTATTGCTGAGAAGAGTGTGCTCTGGCTTCTCAGGCACTAAGGTCCAGGCCCACATGCCCTCTTGGGTTTTCTATTTTACTGGTTTTCATTACATTCAGAAATGAAGTGATAATGTGCTAGCTGGATGTTCATATGAGACAGCAGCTTACCTGTTGCCTTATCTAGGTCCCTCATTTTATGACCACAGTACTCCCACCTTATGTTTTTTTCCCTGTTTGCTTCAGAAATGTATTATGTTTTTTAAATTGCCTGTTTCTGGAAGGTACATGGACAGCTTCTTTCTTTTCATTTTTCTGTGCCTGTGGGAGTTATGCATCTCCTTGAAGTCCCTTATTCTTTCAGTACCTTTAGGCATTGTAGCAGCTTTTAAAAGATTTAGTATTTGGTAGTGAGGCAATAGCCAGCTTTCTGTTCGCTGAATAATAAGTAACTAGTTTCAGATCCTTAAATATTTGAATCTGTGGAATTCTCTAAGGCTGGGAGTAGTGTGTATGTGCATATACACATGTATGCTTAAGTATATTATTTTTAAATTAAAATACCTTTGTACCATTCCATTTCTGTAGTGAAGCATTTTCACTGTTTACTTTTTTAAAAGAGGGGACAGTTGTTTTGAAATTTGTTAATGCTGTGAAAGGAAATGGTGTAAATGAGTGCTCTGCTAATTTAACCCAATACTTACAGCAAAAATGCCTCAGGGTCTTTTGGTTTGGTTTTCATTTTGCTCTGTTGTTTTTTTTTTTAAATGTGAACCTTAAGTGATGGGGTGGATGTATTGATTTGGGATGGGTTTTTTTAACACTTAAATGTCTCCCATAGAGCCTACATATGTTTTTGGTTTTTTTTCCTAATTCCCTGTTTTTGTCTCTTGTTAATCCTGTACAGCCAGTACAGAAGAAAAACCCCTGCAAAATACAAGGTCACCAACCTAGTGTCAGAGACAAACTTAGGAAAACACCCATTTTAGCTGCCTCATGTTTGAGATATTAGACTGTGGCAGTCAAGATCATATTCTCCAGACTGCATTCTTCATAAGCAGAAATACTGGCAGCCATGTGTTAAGTTATAAAAAGAGAGCAGCTGATGTCAGGGCTTATTTCAGTGAGGAGCCATTTCAAAATACTGTACTAATTTTGAGCAGGTATATGCAAACTAAAAATCTTCCCTTGTAATGTAGCATTCACTGTAAATTGCTGCATATCTCAATACTGGGGTAGAAAATTATGAACAGGTCATAAGATGCAGTAGATAGCCCACTTAAAAGAATAATCTTCAGCATTGTACATGATTCTTTAAGCAAACAGAGAGGAACTGGAAAGCAGTTTGATTTGGCCTGCATCTTGAGGATTAGATTTGCTGATACAAAATCCTCCTATTCTGATGTTGAAAAGCTACCACAATTTGAAGCAGAGCCTGAGCTAATTTGAAACAATTAATAGAGGAGTGCCCAGCCTTTCTGTGCAAGTCATCTGTGTATCATGAGCAGCCCTGCAAATGCATTAACTTTATGTGCACAGAAACATGTTATCTTGCCTCATGCTGGGTGTGGATTAACACCAGGTTAAAATGTATCCGTTTCAGGACAAAATTAATGTTATACTCTATTTGGTTTTCTGTATTTAACAAAATAATCCAATGAAAGGAGATTAATTTAGCTCGATAATTTATTTGTAATGATTTTTTTTTAGTGGCTTCTAGGCTAGGTTCATTTGTTCATTTCATGTCTATCTTAGATAGAGTTTCTAAAAATTATGCTACTTAAATATCAGTTCTACAGCAAATGCACTCCTGAAGTTTTCATTAATTTCAGTTCAATCCAATAACTTCAACCTGAAGTTCCTGGTACTATAATTTTTAAGCATTTCAGATTTATGGAGTGTTTATTTACAATGTGATTTTCTGTTTCTACAAATGGGGACTAATGTCCAAGGATAGCAGAATTCTTTTTATTATAACTTTTGAAACTGTCTCAGACAGCTGAGCTATTATGTGTCTGAGAAACCCCTAACTCTGTGCCTGAGATGATACATGTTTTTGTTGAGCCTGTGAATTAGATAGAAATCACATTTGTTTGCAGCTTTGTAACATCTTGCTGATAACTCAAGAGGTAAGTGATCTTAGGCAAGTCACCACTCCATGTGTGTGTTTTAATCCAAGGAGTAGACAAGTTTTTTCTATCACAATAAATGTTTTCTAATTGCTACCCAGTCTGAAGTACAATTGATAGTTTTACTGATAGTGGAAACAATTGCTTATAGCAGTTTATATGAAAGTGCTTTGGGGCAGAGACCCTAGTCCATCAGGAGTGTAAAGGCATAATGACTGGTAAATGTTCTGCTACTTTATTATGCAAGGTAATAATATTTTAACACACAAATGATGTTAGTGTTGTATTCTGGTAAGCTTAAACTTGGTTCTTAAGTTGAAGCCCAAAATCCTTTCTGTCTGGAACTCGCACATGAAGACACAAAGTCAAATGGGTATTTGTCTTAAAATAGCTAATGGTAGGATGATGCTAGATGGATTCATATCTAAGACTTTTTTGTTGGTTTTTTTTTTGTGTGTGTCTTTGTTGCAGGACATCAGGCACGAAGCCAGTGATTTTCCATGTAAAGTGGCCAAACATCCCAGAAACAAAAATAGAAATAGGTACAGAGATGTCAGCCCCTGTAAGTACACTTTCTTTTCCATTGTTCATAGCAAACTGGTCACCTTTAATGACTTCTAACAACTGAATGTTCGTTGTAAGAATAGGAGTTGTGTTGGATATGCACCCAAGACAATTCCTCTTGTTAATATATTTTTTTTATGAGATAGATGTTCCAGGATGCCATTACATCCCTAGGATTATGCCAGAGCAGCATAGAGTAGAATAGTGGTGGCTGAAACAGCATTAAGAATATTGCATGTGTCCTTTCTATTACCATGTACTTAGTAGAGTAAGTGTCCCTCCAGTCAGTGCAGCAGAACTGCAACAGAGGAAAGGGGAGGTTTGCACAGGTGGTGGTGTTAGTGTGAGATCTGTGTTTCTGAAATTATTAGTAATAACTGTTCTGGTGAATTCTGGTGGGAAGTGCATCTTTGAACATGTCTGTTCTGTACAAGGCACAGCCCAGTTCAGTGTTGCAGCCTGTCTGTCTTTCCCCAACCCCCTGAACAAAGACAGTAACATTCAGCCTTGCCAGTGCCTAGCATGCTGTACTGTGGTGCAGTGATGGAAACAGAGTGCAGAGAAGTACAGAGCTGCAGTTATATGGTCAGCAAATAATATCTGATGTATCAGATACTTGTAAAGAAGGTTCACAGCTGGTTTGCTAAGCTGCCTTCTTTGCACTAAATGACAATGCCTGTTCTGGGACTTCTGGCCCTTGCAGGGTGCAGCACTGATGCCTGTTGGGAAATGCAGTTTCCATAGGCTCTGTCACAGGGCAGATGTCTGTCTGCTGTTCAGAGACAAGAAGAGTATGTACATTGGGAAACTTCTGTACTTAGTGGCTGTAAGTTACCAAAGTCTTTGTGGCAATCAACTAGGAACAATAATAGTTTGCTTTACTAAGCAGTTCTAGGATCTGGAGTTGTGAGTAACAAAGGTTCCCTTTTGCCTGTAGATAATACTGCTTCCAATCTGTTTGGTGCCCTTGCAAAATGTGGGAACTCTTGTATGTGGGTTTTTTTGTTGGTGGTTTGTTTTTTTTAATCCTAAAGGGAGCAAGCTGAGACTAACAAAAGAGCAAAGAAATTACTTTTGCTGTAGTTCTTGAATTTTGATCATACTTTCTGTACATGAAGGTGTAGTTGGGTTGGGAAAAGTAGCTAAATGTCTGTAAGAAGTCTCTGTTCTGTTTGTCCAACATATGTTTAGGCAAACCTTTAACAACCTTGAACAAGCTGGATTTTAATGTTTAAGCTGCAAAAGATAAGCAGTTGTGTAACTAGATTTATTTAAAAACAGTAACTCAGTAACTGTACAGATAGGTCAGTGTGATCTGGTTTGCTAATTACCATCGTGATTACTCGAGATGCAAACACTTCCATTCTTGCAGTGTGTTTTTGGAAAGCAGAGTGCAGCCTACGTTGGTTGCTCTGCTGCAGGGCAGCTCCAGTAGTACCTGGATTGTGTTCCCAGTTACAAGCACCAGTGAGCACTCCTGATGGAGCTCTTTGCATTCTTCAGGGTAACTCAGCTGTTTTGATCCTAGCACCTGATGAGGTTGTGCATGAATTGTGCTGTATTGCATATACATTAACTGTTGTTTTCTAATTATGCTGCAGTTGATCACAGTCGAATTAAGCTAAACCAAGGTGACAATGACTATATCAATGCTAGTTTGATAAAAATGGAAGAGGCCCAAAGGAGCTACATCCTTACCCAGGTAATTGCTGGCAATGGATAATAAAAATCATATGGTGATTTGAGTTGTCTTCCATGGGTTTTCCTTAGCCTTATTACGTTTGTTTTCTTTATTGCAGAGCTACTTAAGTGTATATAAACATCTGTGTGTGTGTATATAAACATACACACAGAACAATTTTACAGAGATGCTACATATTTCCTCCTGCTTCCTGTCAGCACTGGCTGACTTGGTATAGAGTATTTTGGCCACTTTGTATATTTGACTTTTGACCCATCTAGATTAGAAGATAATATAGTTCTAGAAATCTACTTGTTTGGTTATGACAAACAACATTTAGATGTGATTGAAATGAATCATACTTTTACATGGAAGATCAGTACAAAGGCTTCACACCAGTAATCTTAAGTTGCCTGATAAATTCTCTGAACAGAGGTGAACCTCACTTAATGGGAGGGCTCCAGATTTACACAATTATGTGCATGAACTTCAAGATGCTCAAAACCTATTTGAAATAACACACTTTAAATATAATAGGCATTTATGTGTTATGTCGATGGGGGCACAAGTTAACTAAAATATACTAGGGCATTTTTTGCACCTGAGCTTCTGTCTCCAAGAAGCAGGATGTTCTACCACATATTTCTTGTTAAACCCTTCTGAAAATGCTGTTACTGTAGTATTTACAAATACCTCCTAGTAACACGGTTTCTAAAAGGTATAAGTAGGGCACTGCTGATGCTTCTACCTTTAATGTGAAAGTTACGAATACAGACATTAGTGATGGGAATTTTTGAGAAGGGAGGGAAGTGGCTTTTTTCACTGAACTTGTAAATTCCACACCTATCTATTTACAGATGTAAAAATACCCAGATACCCTGTTGTCTTATTCTGAGAACTAGCAACTGTGCCAGAATTCTTGTTTTTCCTAAATGTTTGGCTCCCTGGAGACTGCCCTGGTCTCTAATCTTGACTTTTTGTCTTTTTTACCCCTTCTTCCCAAACTCTAGATAAAGGTAGACTGGGATTAATATTTTCAAGCAGCAGCTCTTCCTTCCTGTTTCTAGAGAATACAGATAAATCTTCTAAGAAGTGAACAGTGCAGTGTTCAATATGAAACTAATTCTGTGCACAGAGATCTTACTTCATTTATTTAGGACACAGAGTTTGATTGTGGGGTTGAACTGGTATGTGGAATAGTCAGATGTGCAGCTAACTGGTACCAGTTAGCTGTTCTGATTCAGAATTTAATGGATTTGAATGGCTTTATTTGCATCCAGTCATTCTGAGGACCATGGCCTGTTTTGTTTGAGCAAAATGCTGGAAAGCAAATATGAGAGGGACAATTATGCTGGTTTGAGTTGCCCAAAACTCAGAGCAATGGTTTTGGCAAAGGAACACAGCACAAACAAAAAGTTACAAGGAAATCTACTTTGTGAGTAGACAGTAAAAGGAGCTACCATTTTGTTCAGGTCCAAAGCAGACACATAAAGATTCTGGAAATCTGTGCAGTTTGTTACTGATCTGGCATTGTTTCAGTCTTCTGAGTATTTGTCCATTCAGTCTAGTAATTTTCAAGTATTATGAATAACAGTGATGTATTGCAGAGTAGTTCAATATAGATGTTAATTCTGCTCCCAGTTAGTCAATGAGGTTTTATTTCCCTGTTATATGTTTACTTTTCCTAAGAAAATTCTCTCCGCATGTTCACTCCCAGTTCCCTTCTCACAAATGAGACTGCTTCTCTCTTCCTGCCCTGTCTGGGGGAAAAGATTAGCCATACTTTCAGGACTAGATTCAGAATGGGAAAACAGAACTTAAAGCTGTATCACTGCATTTATTTATTTATTTATTTACAGTTTGGAATGAGAAGTTGCTTCTTACTTGTATCAATTTATTGTCTAATGCAGTAACTTTTACTGGGGAACATTGCACTGACATGAACAGAAAGTAATGCTTCTTTCTGGGGATTCTGTCTCTGCAGGGGCCTTTGCCAAATACTTGTGGTCACTTTTGGGAGATGGTTTGGGAACAGAAAAGCCGTGGTGTTGTCATGTTGAACAGAGTGATGGAAAAGGGATCCGTAAGTGCTTACCCAGTTCTAGCTGTGTGTTTGTTGCATGTTTATGTTTTTTAGTTTTTTAAATACAAAACCAAAAACCAACCTAAAGAACGGTGAGATTATGACCATCAGTAATTGTATCTAAAATTATGCCTGGAGTTGAATACTTGCTGAACTTGTTGAATACTTGATCTTAGTGGAGTCAGAAAATTACTCAGTTTGTAATTGCAGGTCTTAATTTCTTCTGAATTTGGCTAAGAAAAGGCATCATGACAATATGACTCTCCACACAAATTAAATTTGGTCTCTACTACTAACCTAAGTATCTAAATGTAATCTTTTTCAGTGTATGCCGATTACACCTCTCAAAGGCCATCTGCATCTAGTGTTTATTCACAAGCATTATGAAAAGGTTTTGAAGTAGTTACAGAGCCATTTTTTACTCCAAGTTTCCTTCATGCAGTAAGAATTCTGATTATTAAATGTGTCATTAGGCATATTGTTTCTCCACCAGAGTCGTTGTTTTACAAAAGACATTAGAGAGTAAGAGGAGAATGGGAGTGCAATTCAAAGTCCTTCTGGTATCTGTCTTAACCAATAATCTTCTGGGTGATGTGAAGTAAGCAGTTGAACCCAGTGCTTTGCTTGCTAGGAGAAATGCAGTGGGCTGAGTTCTGTCCAGGCCTTTTAGGAAGTTCACATTAGACAAGACAGGTGGAGGTTGAAGGGAAACAATCAGTGAACAAACAGTTGGGATTATTGTTATTTACCTTCAGGTAGATAAAAGGTTCTGATTCTTTTGGCACATGGAGCAGCTGCTGTCTTGAGACAAAAGCAATTTTAAGGACTGGTAGAAATGCACAACTTCCAGCTGAATGTTGCAGTCTGGTCTGTATAAAGACTTTGGGGGGTAGTGGGTGTGCTGGGGACCCACCAGTGATAACTGGCTGGTACATGCTTTTGCATAATCAGGAAAAAAATCCAAATAATCAGAAAGTTATTGTGCAATGAGTTGTGTTTTAATAAACTGCAGTCTTTATTTTTTACTGTTTTGCCTTTTTTGTAGTGCAAGTGAAATTCATCTTCAAAAGAGATGCAGTAACCATATTTTTCAATAGCTTCTTCCCTTCCA